CTATAGAAGGTTTATAGCACAGTGGTTAAAGAACATTAAACCGTTTACTAGGCTTATAAAGAAAGAGGAACTATAGGCGTAGGGAGATAAATAAAAAAAGTTATTTAAAGAACTTAAGGAGTTATTTACCCAGGAGCTAATCTTTAAGATCTATTAACTAGGACTAGATATGGTTATAGAAACGGACGTATTAGACTATATACTAGGAGCATACTTATTATAAAAGCACTAGGACGCATAATACCTAGTAATATACTATAGTAGAAAGATAACACTACTAGAGTTAAACTATAACGACTATAATAAGGAGTTATTAGGTATAGTTATAGCACTTAAGGAATAGAGAGCATTTTTACAAGGTGTAAAGAAACTATTTATAGTTAAAACGGATTATAAGAACCTAATGGGGTTCCTAATAATAAAAGAACTTAATTAGAAACAAGTTAGATGGGCAGAGATGCTTATAGAATACTATTTTAAGATTTAGTATACTAAAGGAACTAAGAATATAAGAGTAGATGCACTTAGTAGAAAGGCTAAACTATAAAATAATAAGAAACTATTAGGAGTAATACTACGCAGAGATAAGGATGGATTAATTAGATATAATTACCCTAAACTAGCAGCAACTTAAGAAGATAACGAACTAAAAAGAGTCTACGGGATACCGGAAAGCTTTTAGGTATAAAGAATTCTAGAAGTATAGCTAAAAGATTTATAGGTGGATATATACGAGAATTAAAATATAATGTATATCCTAAGAAGCATAGCAGAGCATTTTATAGAAGATTTCTATAAGAGAATAACTTAAGGATACAATGGAGCAATAGGCTTAGTGTTAAGACTTTAGAAAGAATACATTATTAATAGAATCTAGAATATTGCGAGAAAAGTAATAAAGAAATACCTAGATTGCTAAAGAAATAAATTAATAAGGTATAAGCTATATAGAGGGCTATAACCTATTAAAATACCAGAGAGACTATAGGAGGTTATATTATAGGACTTTATTATTAAGTTACCAAGGTTAAGAGATCCTATTACTAGATAAGATTACAACGTAATCTTAGTAATAGTGGATAAGCTTATAAAGTAGGGATACTTTATAGTATGCATAAAAGAAATCTTAGCGGAAGATATCGCTAGAATCTATATTAAAGAAGTATTTATAAGGTATAGAGTACTAAGTAAGATTATATCGGATAGAGATCTAAGATTTATAGCAGCATTTTAGGAAGTATTTTTAGTAGAATAAGGGGTTTAAGCAGCAACTTCTACTATATATTATCCGCAGACAGACGGTTAAATAGAAAGATTAAATTAGACGCTAGAATAGTATTTAAGGCATTATATTAACTATATATAGAATAATTAGGTATCGTTATTACTAGTTATATAGTTTATATATAATGTAATACTATAGGAAGGAATAGGCATATTATTATTTAAGGCAAATTACGGATATAAGCTAAGAATATTATTATTACTACGGTAAGTAAAGAAAACAAGTAGCATAGCTAAAGAAAAAATAAAGACGTTAATAAATCTTTATATAGACCTTATAGAATTAGTAAAGAAAGTATAAGAGAGAATAAAAAGGTACTATAATACTAAGAGATCTAAGGGACCAGATCTTAAGGAGGGAGATAAAGTATAGCTACTATATAAAAATTTTAAGAGTTAACGATTAAGTAAAAAGTTAGACTATATTAAACTAGGGCTTTTTAAAATTATATAAAGGATTTCACTAGTTATATTTAAGTTAAATCTACTAGCTAAGATAAAGATCTACCCTATATAGTATATTATAATGCTAAAGCTAGTATACGGGAATATTAAGCTACTAGTTTATAAAGCAGACACGTATAAAGGATAAGGAAAAGACAAATAGCAAATTTTAAAAATTGTTAGTTATAAGGATATTAACAATAAAACGTAGTATAAGGTTAAGTAGATAGGCTATAATAAGACTACCTAGGAACTACTAGAAAATTTAAAAAATGCTATAGAAAAGGTACAGGAGTATTAGAAGAGATTAGGTTAAGTAGTACTAATAAAGAAAGATCGCTAAAAAATAAACCACCTAAGGGGGACCTAAGAAGAGCAGTTGCTAAACTACTTAAATCTATTTCCTTTTTGGATAGAAGAGAATCCGTTCTTTTATTACTAAGTTTCTGTAAACCTTATTCTATAAGTTTCTACTCCTTAAAATAAACCTTTTTATAAACCTTTTTAAGACGGAGTAATTAAGTGAACGCTGTAATATGGGCCTTAAGAGCCTTCTACTCTATATCTTAAGAATATTTTAACTTAGTAAGGGCTTAAGACAGTTTACTATCTAGCTGCGTAATAGTAGATTAAATATAAGACCCTAAGATAAATTAGTTAAGGAACTAGACGACTATTAAGAGTAATAGGTCGCGTATATTTAGTATTAAAGATAGAGCAAACGTTACAAGACGAATAAATATTCGCTTTAGTATACTCTAAGTAAAAGGACGGTTATTGTAAAGATGGACTTACTAACGTAATATAAACCAACCCCTCTTTTAAACAACGAAAATACGGAGATAGTATAATCTCATTAAGAGATAATATCGCAGCAACAGTGTAAGCACGACATTACGCCTACGAAGAGAAAGGAGCCTTAGGTATAATAAGCAACAATATTAATTAAATTAATTAGACGGATATTATACCTCTAGTAAATAACTTGGAGATATTTAGAATCTTTAAGGACGAAGATAAAAAGGAGGGAGATAGTGTTACGGACGCTTTAAGTATAATATTATAACTACTTAGAGAAGAGTTAAAAGAAGCTAGTTAGTTAATTTAGGTATAGTCTAGGATAAAGCTAATAGAGCTATATAACGAGGAATAGTAATTAAGGTTATATAACGTTATACGCAGTATATATAGTATACGGAAGGAACGTATATATAATACGTATAACACGTACCTCACGTATAAAGGGGATTTCTTAGGAGTACGGTTATGTATTTAAAGGACTACAGTCCTTACCTAGATAGTTCTCTCCTTTATAGTAAATCTTAAAATATAATTGGAGTTAATCTGTTAGGCAACTACTCCACAAATTATTATTACGTTATTAACTTCTTGTTTACCTATATACCTAGCCTATTAACAAGTCCACCGTAGTTTCTACTATAAGGCTTCGTTACAATATAGCCTCTAATTAAGTAATTAATAAGTAGTTAATAATACTCTTACCCTAAAGATTTAACTAGCTATTAGATACTAGTATTAGCTTACCTAGATATTAAGCAATTAGATCCTTTATTCTAGCCTTAAGCTTTTTATATATTTAGTTAAAAAGAGTATTAGCTAGCTAGTAGCGTAAGGGAGGTTTATAGGCAGGTTAAATTTAGTAAAGGAACTTAAAGAACGGCTTATTCTCAACCTAGATTAATTAGTAAGTAATTAAAATATTAATTAAGAAGCTACTTATTAAGCTTAGAGCAATTCTAGTACTAAAGAAGAACTTAGTAAGAAGCTCATTAAGCACAGCTACCTTTACTATCTTAACAATATTATGCCATATTCCCTTATACAGTCGCTTATAATTAGGCTTTAAAGCGCTTTTTAGAGCCTCTAATAAGTAAGGTTAATATTCGGCATATAGGCGTTAAGGCAGTTCCTCATACTTTTTTAGGTGGGCGACGACCTTCTAACAACTATTTAAGTGCTATATCTTCTGGCAGTGGATGCAAACAACCTTTAGGTGGGTTTTATCAGGGAGTTTATAGGCAGCAACCTCCTTCTAGTATAGATTAGCTGTAGAGCCTGCTATTTAGTAAACGATTTAACTAAAACACTACGCCAAGGCTTGTAATAGAGGCAAGTATACCGCTTAAAGAAATACTATAATAAACGGCGTTGCAAATAGATGTTCTGCTTATAGAAATTTACTATAGGCGAGCTATCTAAACAAAAGACTCTTCATTACACTGTTTACTAAGCATATGGCCTATATAAGACACGGTATAAGCCTCTAGAATACACGTGTACACCGTGTATGTACACGTGTAAGTGTAAGCTCACACCCTCACACCGCATGACGTTCGCGAGCCTGAGTTCGAAGATATCTTATACAAAGTAACGCCCTAGGGCCTCCGCCACCTCAAGGCCCAACTAAAGCTTGCAAAGTCTACTAATTACCAGCCAAATTGTAGTGGCTCTTGGACTGTTGTATACGGCCTCCCCTACTCCCACGTACTCCACCAACAGCTACACCGAAGCGCTACCTCCGTACCCAAAATTGAGTTTACCGAAATCAACGGACACTAGTGGTTTGATCGCCCTCAGCCAGATCGTCCTACCGGCCCACCTATCGATCCTCTACTACTTATTCAAGAGCCTCTAATTATTGAGCGTCGCCGCGGCCACCCAGCTGGCTCTGTAACTCCTAATTGGGTTAATATATTGACTCGCCGCGAGCCATCAGCATTTGAGCGAAATACTAGATATACTATGCGTGGGCGCGGGCGTGCCCGCGGAGGTAGCAGCACCTAAATTAGTTCGCGCGATGTCTTACAAAGCACTATATAATCCGATTAATTGACTTAGGAGAGATGGGTAATATTTTAGGTGATGGGGGTAGTGGTAGAAGTTAAAATACTACTACGAATGACTTACAAGGTGTTGGCGGCAATATTTAACAGGTTTACAGAGGCCTAGGTGACTTGCCCTTTTAGGAGAATTTTGCTGAGGGCTCCTTTGACGCATTCCAAATCTAATTTGGACTCTGCTACTTGTACTATAACTAGAATCGAGACTTGATCGTGGTGTTGCAGTCATAAAAGTTGCATTTTAATAATTTGATTTTCGTGATGCAGATGTAAACAAGTCAAATACACGTGATATTCTAACCTGATCAGTAAGGAACTAAACTTAATTAGTGAGGGTTGTCCGTATACCAATTAGGGGTGTCAATTTACCGCTGGCCTAAAACCAAATTAAAATTTGTATTAAACAAAAAGGCCTCGCTAGCGCAACCGGCAGAGCGTGAGACTTTTATGAAATCTCAAGGTTAGGGGTTCGAATCCCCTGCGAGGCGTTTTGTAATTTTTTATTTATATATATAACTATATTAGGGAAGGGTTCGCAGGCAGAAATTTAAACCACCCGTTAAGTGAGATTAAATACTATTAAATATATCAATTGGCTGCTAAATAGCTATAGTTAATATAAAATATGGGGTTTTTTTTAGGTCTTTAAATTTTGCTCGCACTAGCAGATTACCTCTCTTTTTGCTACCAAATTGGCATTATAGCGCTATTTAATCTTTAAATTAAGTAAAACTTAGGGACTAAGTAAAAACCTATAACGTAGTCGGCAAGCCTAACGGCCATGCAAGCCTATAGGCTACATCAAAACCCCACCAAAAATTAGAAAATCCACACCTTAATATCTTAACAACCACTTAGTAATAAATTCTAATATATTAGATTTGGACTTTTATATATACTTTACAGCTTCTATTAAAGTTGCATAGTAAATAGTTTAGTAGTTTTTAAGATATTAAAATTTGGGGGCCAAAATGAGGCCACATTACTATATCTTAAAAATTACTAAACTATTTACGATGCAATTTTAATAGAAGCTGTAGAGTATATATAAAAGTCTAAATCTAAAATATTAGAATTTATTACTAAGTGGTTGTTAAGATATTAAGGTGTGGATTTTCTAATTTTTGGTGGGGTTTTGATGTGGCCTATAGGCTTGCATGGCCGTTAGGCTTGCCGACTACGTTATATTATATTAGTTAATATATTTAATATATAATTGGCGTATTTAATACTAAGCTTAATAACTAACTTAATTGATTTTTTTTAAAAATTCCTATTTTACTTAATTTTTACTTAGGCTTTAGTAGGTACCTATTATGGCACTAGTGGAAAACGGTGGATTATAGTAGACGTTATAGTAGACGCAGAGTTACGTAAGCTTACGTGACTTAAGGACCGTATAACTTTAAGCGGCGCTACTATTCTTCTCCTTTCCTTCCTCTAATTTTAGATCCTTTTTTATAGACAATCTAATTATATAGGCTTGCGCGCCCCTCTTGCCGTATTTATGCCTTAATTAACTAAGCCGCTAATATTATCTAAAGCTTATTTATTTTTTTTCCTAAGAAAGAACTTAAATATATTTATAGACTATAAATAGAATAAGGACATAGAAATGGACCTAAAGGATATTACTAAAAATACCTTAGATAAAGAAATAATTAATATTCTAACCCTTTAGGCGGAACTTATAGCAGCTAATACTAAAATTAAACGGCTACGGGAACTGCTTAAAATTAGAAACACTCTTATATTTAGCGATAACCTATTAAATAGATTTGCTATAGTTCTTAGGCCCTAGCCTAACGTATAGTATTATTATAATCTATAAAGGTTGCGGACCCCCTATTACTTATAAATGGAACTAACCCTATATTTAATAATTAGAAGCTTTAACTATAAAATAAGCTTAAAGTTAATATAGACTACTTCCCTACTATTTAAGCTAAAATGGCTTATATCTTCGGTTGTACTAGCGGGGATATATAGATATATCTACATCCGTAATACGCTTAAAACTTAATAAACCCCTTCCTCTCTTAAAAAGAGATAATTAACTACCTATCTTTTATCTATAAGGACCCCTTTAAGGTATAGAACGCCTACCTTAATTATAAAAGCCTAAATATAAAAACGACGGAGACCTTTTTAGATTTTAACCCTACTTTCTATATCTAGCTAGCTAAGCCTAAATTCCCTATAAAGACCTACTTCTAGACCTCTTTAATAAGCTTTCCCTAGACCTATAGCGCGCTATACTACTAGTTTTTACTACTATATAGACGCTAAAGGTACTTATAGACTATTACCTAGCTATTAACTAAGGCCTCTATTAAATTAAGTTATAAGCTAAGTAGTATAAAGCTAGAAACTCTTTAAACTAGACTATAAACACTCTAAGAACGGCCTATAGTGCCCTAGTATAATCAGCAACCCCTATAGCACTAGCCGTATAGCCCGTTATTAATCTAGCAGCTAGTTATATAGCCAGTCCTACTATAGGCCTAGCGCATACTTAGCCTATATATAGCGACCCCTATAAATAAGCCCTTAGTAATTAAGGAGCTTGCTTCTTATATAGCTAAAAAAACTACTTTATAAAGGACTATTAATAGCGGCAAAGACGAATAAGGTCCTATTAATTTAAATAAATAGTATCCCTTAACCCGTTGGGACCGAATTGAGAAAGGTCCGTGTATAAACATTAGGATTAGAACAACGCGTGTATCTATATAGAATTTAATTATTAATTACACCACCAATATGCCTTCTAATTATACTAGAATTGATGCAGACCTTATTCCGAAGACTTAATATAACGTCCCCCCAAATAAGACCGCCAAAAAGCCTCCCCCTAAGCCGTGGCCTCTACCTAAATTTAAGCCTCTTAATATTAACGATTGGAGCAACTATGGTTTATTAAATTTTCCTTCCAATATTAATCCACACGATCCTTTTGGGCTGTTTAGTCTATTCTTTGTAGATAAAATTATGGATAAGCTTATGGGGTGGACGAACGAGTACGCGGAGCTTTATCTACTAGATGAGGAAAAGGAATACCTACGTATATAGCAGCCAACATGCAAGCAGGAACTCTACGCGTACTTCGGTGTGCTAATTCATATAGGTATTACTATAGAATCGTGTATTAAGGATTACTGGAAGGATTTAAATACCTATGGCACTAAGCATATCGTTAAAAAGTATATGGGACTTAGTCGATTTCAGCAGCTTAATCGCTACTTTTGAGCCTCACCACCATGGCTAAAGTCTGATAAAACACCTAAATCTACGTTTACCCAAATTAATGAGCTGGCTAAATATATTCGGCTTACTTATAGGAAGCTCTACACCCCTAGAACCTACCTCGCCGTTAATAAAACAATTTAGCGCTTTACGGGTCGTGCCTTTAAGATTATTAATATTCTATTAAAACCTATACTAGAAGGCTTTAAAATATAGATTTTAGCGAATAAGTGTAAGGGATATTATTGCGGACACCTTAGGTTGCCCTTAGGACAACCCCCGGACGCCCCTTAGATAGTTGCCGGTCACGTGCCGGAGGCACGTACCTGTAGTATATAGTCTCTACGATCTTAAAGGCCTTACCTTCTTAAGGATTTGTCTCTCTTACTAATCTATCCTATTTTAATTGTGTCCTTATAGCCCCCTGTCTATAAGATCCCCTTATATTTAAATCCTTCCTACTCTTTTTTAGAAGGGTAGTCGGCTTAAGGACCAGATTGTTTGTTTATATCTTTTATTTATAACTACTATCCTCCCTTAAAATCTCGCGATAACCTAAATAGAAACTCTATAGATACCTTATGGAAAGCCGTTGCATAAAGGCAGGAAGGTTCCTCTAATAGCGAGAGATTGTAATAATATAACCCTCTGGGTAAGACGGCTAAATGAGCCCTAATACCTAGATGCTCTAGAAGCTTAAAGACTCTTATATACCTACAATTACTATAAAGGAAAACGTAGACACCCTTTATAACGGTTACAACGCTGCTAAAAAGTAATTGGAACCCCTTTAGCCCTACCTAAGCTAATTAGAAGATTAAGCGCTAGAGGTAACTTTAAGATCTTCCCCTAAGCTAGAAATGCTAGAGGAATATACTAATATATTTGACTAGGGAACCAACTAGAACCCTCCTGGAAGACTACCGGCCTATAATTAGTATAGTAATAGTATATAGACTGCTTATAAGCTAAGCGGGCCTACCTCTTTGGGTAATCTAAGCTAACTACTAACTTAAGACCCGAGCCTTGTTGGGAAGCCTATACTAGCTACTAGTACTAATACTACCTCTATAGTAAGAGCTTCCCTAGGCCTAAGTTTAGAAGGTTAAGAGCCTTATACTGATCTCCTTTAAGATAGATATTGGGAAGCTATTATAAGGCTCTTAAAAGCTATATGGGAGGAAGCTACTAATAAATATATTAGAACTCTCTAAGGGTAAATCTAGATCTAGTAGGGTCTAATCTAAGCTAGGTAAATTCTTTTATAACCTAGTTAAGGCTAAGGGCTTTTTAGGAGCTACTTAGTACCTACCTAAGGAGGTATAGAAGACTTAGAGAGTTATCTATACTATAAATAGAAAAAGGATATAGACTGACTAGTTAAGGCCTCTAGTAGTCTAGAACTCCGCTATAGACCTAATGTCTAGTAGTTAGACGATTAGGTTTGTAAGGTAGATAACTTCTTTAAGATACTAATAATATAAGATGATAGTAAAGAGCGTATATGCTGGATTATTAGCAAGATTAAAGACTAATTACTAAACTAGATTGCACTTAATTAGCTTAATAAAGAGTAAATTACTATATAGCTATAGCTATAAACCTTCCTAAAGAAATAGACTTAAGATCTATATATCGTATAATACGATAATATAGAGCTATTCTGGAATAGGACATAGCTGGACTGTTATGACTTCCGCTAGTTTATAAACTTTATAGAAACTTATGCTTAGTAAATAGATCTAGAGCCCTTTAAAAACAAGGATGGTAGCATCCGTAAGAAGGAGAAGATTAGGTTTATCTGGGCTAGAATTAAGCTAGTAATTTATGATAAAATTAAGCGCGTGGGAGCCCTATTGCGGATTACTATATATACGGATTTTAAATGAGCAGTTCTAAACGCTAAAGACGCGGTAAGGAACCAGACCTCTTCTAGTAGGAAGCTAGGGGGTTACTAAAAGTGTAGGCACTCTAGTAGTAATATAGGGCAGACTTAACCTTTAAAGAAGCCGTTCTTAAAGAGAACTTTAAAAGGGTTAAAGTTAGGAACCTTAAATAACGGGAAAGACTCTTAGGGTTAACCTAATACCTATTTAGCACCTTTATGGGAATACTTTAAGAAGTTAAGAGAAAACTCTGGAGGTAGATTTTATTGGAAAAATAAGTAGGGCGATAACCGCACTAATGATCTAAAAAAAGAAAAGCCCTAGTTGCGGACCTCTTTTTAGCTATAACTAGGGTA